TGCAGGGGCTATCTGGGGAGCAGCCCCGAGCAGCTCATCCCCAGATTTCCCAGCTGCTCATCCCCTTCTCTGCCTGCCCTCAGCCTGCCTCCTCGGTGATTATGGCTGTGCCTGAGCCTATATCTAACTTCTTGCTGTTGTATTAAAGCCAGATGAGTTCAGGCGTGTGACACCCTGCCTGCTCTGACTCTTTTGCCCATGGTGACACTCTGAAGAGACAGTTTGTCTGGTCCCACTGGTGGCAAAGAAACCTTTAAATGATTACATAGATGTTTCCTCTGAGCTGATTCAGCCCCAAATTGTACAAGGCAATTTTTTCTACATGATAAATTAGTTGGGAGCCCTTTCTAGGGCTGAAGGATACGATGGGGAATTCCCATCCTCTGGCTGCAAAACTGAAAATCAGTATCTAGGTTTTCACTTCATGTTGTTAGCAGTATACATTTTCAGCAGTATATATTTTCTACTTAACCCTGAAACCTTTAAGTGATGTTTGACTGTTGACTGATGTTTGTGTTTGCAGGGATATAACACGGCAGTTTTTCAAGCACTTTCCAGTATTCAGCACTCCAACTATGCCATATACAGCTGCCAGACTGTGATTTTTCTCCTTTTAGATAATGTTTACATGTTGTTGGCACAAAAACCCTTAGCCCCTCAGACACAGAAAATGTGGAAAAAATAGAACTGAATATAAGAAATACAAACATTATTTATAAAAGCAATTGTATCAAATATGCAAATTTTGAGAATAATTTTTAAATGATTAGCAAGATAATGAGAAAATGAATAGAAAGGGCAGGACTTAAAGGAAAAATTAAGTCCATCTTGAAATACAGCTCACAGAAACTTTGTGTGTTGTAATATGGAAGACATCAACTGAAGTAAAAATGAAGATCTGAATCAGAAATTCAGATGCTTGCAGCTTCATTGCAAAAATCTCAGCAGTTCTCAGAGATTTCCAACCCCACTGAAGGGATTTTTATCTATACAGGAAATATAGACAAATGGAGAACCTGTGACAGAGGATGCCAATGGGTACTGCAGAGCAAAGACATTACAGCAGCAAGAAACTTTAAAGCATCTTCAATTCACAGTCTTTGATCACCGAAAAAAAGGAAAGTGAAAGACTTTTTGCTGGGTGAGAAACTAAATGGTAGTACTTAATGCTGTAAAGTGAAGATTCAACTTATGTAAAAGATGAAATAAAATTAGGAGGTCCTGAAAGGAACACAGATCTCTAAGAGGAAAAAAGACTTAACCCTACACAGAAAACAACAGACAAACAATATTTTTCTAACTGGAGAGAGAAAAATATCAGTTTGCTTTGACTTTTCCTCACCACTCAGACACAATAGCAATAGCTTCTATATATAAACATTAGATGCTCTTCAGCTGTACTCAACTAAAGGATATTTATTCCAACTCAGGAAGGCCAGTGGTAAAAGCGGTTGGGGGATGCTTTATTTACACAGTGATAAATTAACCTATGGAGCACATCTCTGAGGATAGCTCTAGGAATGACTCGGATGCAAAAAGATCCAGATGGACTTTTTGACCTCCTCTTTTGCAGCTCCCTCTGTGACATTTGCTAGGCTTTTTCAGAGGTAAAAGGTTGGAGGACACAAAGCTTTATTCTCACATTTTAGTCTTGAGGCTACAGAAGCTTCTGCCTTTATGCCCGAGCAACGTTTGCCTCCAGTAAATGTAAACTGTGCTGGGCAGCTGTGGAAGGAGGGGAAAAAACAGAAAAGCCTTGTGTCTGAAACATTTGTGTTTGTGTGCATCCTACCCAATACAGCTGGTCTGACTCAGCTCTGAGGAGATGCTGTGCAGCTGTTTCTCTGGAGCAATACCTATGGGCAAACAGCAGCAGAGTCCGACATCTATGTACATCTTGCTGATCTCTGGAGTTCATTTTGTCCCTTCTCTGTCATGTTTAATCAGGAAATACTAGGTTTTTTCTTACTGGATATTCATGTGCATATGTTCAATACTTACAGGGCCAATCTACCATTGTTTGATGTTTTCACGTTTTTTTTTTTTTTTTTTAAATCAGAGCCCAAGGACATACTGCAAGCCCAAATCCAATCTTTTCAAAATTGCTTACTTCTTTGCTGGGACACTGTTGACTCTGTTGCAATTCTGGAAGACATGGGTTCAGCCGGTGCAAACTGACTTCATCTCTTCAGTGAAGCGAAGGAAGGATTTAGCCTCTAATCTCTGATGTATTGTACAGATCCAGCAAGTCAAGGCAGATGAGAAGCTCTCCTCTGGGCACAAATCTGCAGCTGCCTAGAAAAAGTGGCCCCAAATCCAAAGCGGCAGTAGCCGCTTGCAGAAGCCCAGAGGAGGAGGCTCTAGATTCCAAAACATCTCGTTCCAACTCTCATGAGCTCATTTTGCTAGCAAAGCAATGCATAGTATAAAATAAAATAGGCAAATCATGCATTCTAGTCTGAAGGCAGGACCAGCTATCTTCAGCTAGGCACTGGGATACCATGAAGATGAATAAAGTTTAAGCAGTGGAACAAAACAGTGCTGATATCAGTGAAATTATCAAAGGATTTTTTTGAGAAAGAAAAAAAAAAGAATTTCCAGTGCCCTAAGCTATGCTGTTCCAAAGCAAAGCAGCAATTCCCACAGAACAAGTGGGGCTAAACTTAAAGTAGAATGGGATAATGGTAGAATATTTATAATGCTGTAAGGTTCCAAAATGTGCAAAGTAAACAATTTTTAAGTTGTCCAAGCGTGGAAAAAAAAGGCTCATGGCAAATGATGCTTGAGAGGAAAAGTAACAGAACCCAAATGGCTTCATGGCAGGGGAGGAGGGCGAACTCAGCCATGACCCCTCTTCATGCTAGATGTTGCATGGCTCAGAAATAAGTAGAAATAAATGACTGAGTCATTAGGATCCCAGTGGAGTGTGACACAATCTCAGATGGCAGCTGATCTCCAATGATTTTATCCACTGATCTCGTCCACTGCTGGGAAGGAGCAAATCCAGCGGCTGTGCAAAGCCCTGCATTCGTGTGCAACTTGCTCTTTCACACAGACACAGAGGCTACTGGTACAGACTTTCAGACGCTGTGAGTTTCAGTGCTTTCTGAGGAGATTCATAATCAAATGGGAAGTAGAGACAAAATATCATATACAGGCAGGTGCTATGCATGAGTGCAGAATATAGGCTGGGATTACTGTTTGCCAGGCATAACTAGTGAGCTTCGCAGAAAACTTGTGCCTCTCTGTTGCATGCACCAAGGTGAGAGCCAAATAATAGAAGCTCCTTTCTCCCTTCAAAAGAACCTTGTGATAGGCTTTTTTAGCTAGATTGTTTCGCAGCCTTTGTACTTGTAAGGATTGCGTTTCTAATGGGGAAAGAAAGGTCAAAAGACATTAATAACCAAGATAACAGTTATCAATCTGATATAAATAAAGCAGCTTATAAAGTTTGCAACACACCACAATCTGCAGCAGATAAAGGAGTTGAAACCCAAAGGAGGGTTATAAGAAAGCTGCTAATGGGAGTGTCTATAAGTTTTCTTTTTAAGCAAATGACGGGGACACAATTGTCACGTGCAATGGTTGCTGTAGAAGCCTGTGTTGCCCCCGAAGCTTAGAGCGAGGACATCACTCAGATCAAGAGGTCACAGTCTGTCCTCCTCTGTGCTGCTCAGCTGCTTAGGCATGATCCCACAAGCAGACCTACACATCCATACACAACAGGAACCCCATTTTTATCCTGAGTGATGCCACAGTGCCAGCAAGCACTGTTAGAGCTACACTACGAAGCTCTTCCTTGCCCACGCTCTTGCTTTACTGTTTCTCCCAGGACCTTGCTCTGTCTTAATCCTGTTTAGTTTAGTGATAACTAAATCACTTTACCTTTCTAACTCTCTTGACGCCTAGATTCCTGTTTTGTGAGTGTCCCATAATGTCAAAGTGGCTCCTGCCTTAAGTAACAGTGACCCAAAAGGATGTTCTTGCTGTTCTGCCTAAATTCCCTTGGAAATCTGTTTCAGTACAGTCCTTACAGAGCATGTGTATAGTAAGACACACATTGTCCACCCGCAAACACACCCTGAGCCTCCTCTGAAATAACGGCGTGGTGGATCCCATAGGCGCACCCAGCATGGCGCGCTGTTAGACAGGCACGCTGCCTCCGGGAGCGCATGACACGGGGTTAGTTCTGTCTGCACGCGGAGGGGATTTCAAGCTGGGGACCCATGGGCTAAGCTCTCTGCCCCTTTTCCGCTTGGCAGAAAGGTTCTGCAGGACAAAACTGGCACATGACACTCGTGTAGCATTTAGGGTACTCTGTTCTGAGTATGGAGCCAGACAACCTAAATGTAATTGCTGCAGGACCTCACTTCACTTGCCTATGTTCCTTATGGGAGCTGGGTCTTAAAAACCACGCCTCAGTGAAAGGACCTATATTGCAAAGGACTTACCTATATAGCAAAGTGCCTATATCATTTCTGAAAAAAAGAGGGTGAGGACACTTTCATTACTCCTTAGCTCTTCACTAGTTTACATTAGTTTAAAATCCATCTAGCAAAACTTATGACCAACATACACTAGCATAGCTTTTGCTCTAATTAGTTTAGCTTGTTTTCCTAATGATATTGAATCACTTTCACTCATCTCTTCATTGACAGAAATATTAGCCTGCAGTAAATCATTTGTTCTCAGCTGCACACACTTCCAGACTCTTCTTGGACATGCGCTATTTGTCTAATTTTTTTTCTTATACCTAGGTCATGAGCTGTAGGATTTTTAAATATTTTCCAGTGACCAAAAGACGCTTTTTCTTTTTTGAACAGACAATTTATTTGTAACAGCAGTGTGAGATATTACAAGTGGAAATCAGATAAACATGCAGTGTTTCATAGCATATATTTCAGTAGATTAGTCCAAATATCACATGAGAAAATTTTAAATCCTTTAACATTAGTTTTGGTATTGTGGTGACTAGACATTTCAACAGAAACAGTCTTGTGGAAAAATCCACACATTTAGCTTGCTTTAACCCATTTGTCCTAAATTACAGAGATCGCATCACTATGGCTTAGATCATATAAGTGTGTAACAAATACTTCAGTCTATATATGCATAATGCCTGCTTAACAAAGTCCTCAAGAAATTCAGATACACACAGGTTGATTTGAGATACAAAAAATTTTGTATGGTGTTTCCCTCATCCATCTTGGAAAGAAAGGTTCACAATGTAAATTCTCACATATTCTATTTAGTTTATAAATATTGGATGGTATAAAACATTTTGTTAACATGGGTTAGCATAGGCTGCAGACAAAATGTTGCAGAGCACAACAGCAACTGCTCCGTAACCAAGTACTAGAAAGACAAAAATCTTATTTGAAGACTGTCTAGCTTTTTAACTAGCAACTGTGCTTAACTATTAATAGAAATAAAACATATTTCAAACAGCTCATGTACTAACACAGATGAAAAAAATAAGCATTGTATGTGCTATGCAGTGTTTCACTCCTGCTTCCACTGAATGAATGAAAGATACAGCTCCCAGTACTTTAATAGGAAAAGGATTATGATACCTCAGATGCTGTGGGGAACTCCCTCCTCTCCCTGAGTAGTTAGAATTTGACTCCTCAGTGTCCATACAACCTGAAAGGTATTTGTGTACCTCAATGTAACCCACCTTCAGATTTCATCCTTTCTCTTCTGAAGTCTAGTGATTATATATTTTGAACCTATTTGTTAGAATGTAAAAAAAAGTATTGGAAACAGTCCTGCCTTCATGGAGGAGCAAGATGCATCCACCTTTTATATTTTAGGTCCCTAGAATTATGACAACATGCCTGGCATCCTTACTGAGATATCCACCAATGTATCTAAACAAAGACATTTGCCATTTCCCACTAATAAATACTTTAAGAAAACATCAAGTTATATTACTAGCTGCAATTTAGAGCTGAAGGCTCTAAATCTAACTCAAACAGTATTAAAATATATATTTTAAAATTATATTAAGGCAAAAGTACTTGCAGGCCATGAAAAAGTCACACTGGTCTATTATTTAACCAAATGTAATTATTTTATGCTGATGATACCACTGGAAAACAACTTGGAGAACAACATACCCTGCAGGTTAAAGCTGAATCAAGCCCTGAGGCACGCTAAAGTGTGGTATTCCCTGCCATTAGTGGTGATCTCTTGTGATAGGGTAGAAGCGACAGTGGTGACAACTATCACTAGGAATTTACTTTAGGGTGGGTCATAAAACTCAAGTCGAATGAATCTCCTTCTAGATTTAAAAATCTTGCCCAAAGGCTCCACTTTTTGTAAAAACCACAGTGAAGCGTATGAGAGGAGCCATCAGGTCCTGAAGTAGCCCAAGATCATTTCCACTCTAGTTAAAGAAACTTTTCCATGAGTTCTCTTCAGTGGGAGCAGGAGCAGACCTACCATATCTCGTCTTCCTGCTTATGTCTACAGAGAACATCCTTTACTGATGAATATCCTGTTTATTTTGGCTTCCCCTCTTTCCCCTGATCTTTGCTCAGCAGCCTGTACCTTATCTCCGATACTCTCCTTCTGTGAGGAGTTCTCCTGGGACCGGTTCTGAGAGTTTACCACAACTCATTAATGAAGAATAAAAAGAAAAAAGTCTCCTGACTTAGCTAATATTATACTAGTGTTATGCTCATCTCAGCAGTAGAATTGAGCAGGGTGAAGAAAATATGCATCACGCCATTTGTGTAAAAGGACCCTTAAGCACAAAACAAGTCACAGCTTTTTTAAATAATACCATGCAAAATTCACAAATTATGAGCTTCTAAGGAATGTTTTTAAATATCAAAATGCAAAACTTCTGAACAATCCACCAGGGCTCTATGTGCATTACTCTTTACTTTGATAAACCTTTCGCATGGCTTCAACAGACAAAGTGCCCCTTTAACAAATAGGGCATTTGAGCAGGAAAAAAGGCAGATTCCTAAAGGAAAAAAAATGCACAAGTTCTGTACTTTCTCCTTGAATTTGTTTAGCCTGAAATTTACCCATCCAAGAAGGACCATGTGGGGGTTTAAACACATCTGTACTGCCCTCCCCACAGCAGACTTACTCCTTGCTGTAGGAAGGACCTCTTACCTGCCATTTGAAATGGTGTCTTGAAGGCCCCTAACCATGCTCATGCCCTAGCAATGCTGCTGCTGTGTAAGGCGTACAGCTAAGGATAAACACTGAGCTGCTTTACCAGAATCCACAGGTAGCCACTACTGCGATGCCTCAACAGTATGAGATGGGGCTGGTGGGATAGCTCAAGTGCTGGGAGAGGGATAGTGTGACTGGGGACAGGGCCAGATTGGGTTGCTCTGGAAAGTACAAGTTTGCAACATGCTGTTCAGCCACTCAGAGGAGCCCAGTCCCACACCCACATGAGGCACGTGCCGTGCAACCACTCAGGGAAGCCTAGTCCCATGCCTATGTGTGCCACAGGTGGTGCTCAGCCTATAGAGCCAGAGCTGTGGGGAGAAGGAAGATTGTGGGCAAACAAAGCACCTGGCAGAGTCCTGAATCTCACACTCAGGGCAGGGAGGCTGTGTGAGTGAGGCTTTTAATACAAGAAAATTGACACCAGGAAAATGAATATAACAGGATACGCTCTACAACTATCCAGTGCTAGGAGCTGGGATAACAGAACTGCCCTTGGATCATAGTGCAAAAATTGGAGTTTAGCAGTGCTTTATTATCTCCTCATTAGAGACACCTAATTCCCTCCAATAGAGATTGTGTGTAGAGTAACGTCAAAGAGCAGATAAGTCAATTACAGGCCACAGTCAGGACCCATGCTTCCCCCTGTCCCCTTATTGGTAAGTAGGCAGGAATAGACTTTCTTTTTAAAATAAAATCTATACAATTACAGTAATGAGGCTATTGACTGCCTCTGCAGCTGCATACTGGAAAACTTAAAACCACTGATTGAAACGAAAGCCAGTAACAGAGTCAGTAACAGCTTTATAGAAATGTTTTCTTGGGTGGGTTATGTCTAGCGAAATACTTCTGTAAGGGAAAGACTGATTGCTGATCATATTTCGTTCCTTTTCCCCCCTAAAAAACCTTGCAAGTGCTTGCATTTCTTCCTAACAATGGATTAAAAAAGCTTTGCCAGAGATAATAATTAAGGCTATAGGAACAGTGCAACAAGCATGGATCCTGTTCAGCTAGTTAGAGATCAACTATGACAAAAAGCCAGAAGCAGTCATATTTTTTATCATCTGTTATAAGAAAAATCCCAATCAGTGTTTCAATACAATTAAAAGTTAAAAAACCCTCTACATTACTAATAAATTAAAAATCCCATATCTCCCACCATCTTGTAAGAAAGTAGATAAGTAATTTAAACCTTTAGTTTACATAAATTGGCACAGAAATGTTTATTTGAACAAGTGCACTGAAAACAGATATACCTTCTTTTCTTCTGATATCTCAAGTTATTAAGTAACAGGAGAGCCTTCATATTCTCTGCATGACCTTGAGAGCCTGCTAGCACTAAATGGTCAATAGTCAAACCTCAGGAGAATGTTTCACCAGATAGACAGTGACATGAGCTATCATGAAGAACAGCCAAATGCTTTGCAGCCTTATTATAGTAGGTTTTAATTTTCAGTTTCAGTGTATTTACTCCCGGGAAGATATGAAGGTAATATGTTCATTGGTTTGCAGTATAAACAAAATTTGACGGGGCTATAGATTTTTAAAACCTGAAAAAAGTATTTTTCAGAGGTAGTTTGCAAGGCAATAATGATGTATGCAAATGGAAACAACATTCCTTTGCTTGACTTTGGATAAAAGTCTTAAATACCATTGATGTTGTCCCTGGACCTAGCAAAGAATGCTTAATGGACAAGATGTTCTAATCAGAGTTGACAACAGCCAATTAAGTGTCAGAAGAACAATCTGATAAGTAGGTTTCCATGTCTATAGGCATTTTCCAATACGTCTTAACTGTCAATTTGAATGTTAAACATCTCCATCTTCATCTCATTATTGACTGATTTATTAAAGAAGAATGCTTTCACCTCTTTTTTTTTTGACTTTGGGGTTGTTCCATAAAGAAGGAGAGGAAGAGAGCAGGGATGTCACTTAATTTGAAATAATATAGGGGGAATCCTAATTCTGGTAGAGTTCTATTATTCCTTGTGAGTGGTATAGTTTGGTGATGCCACTACCACGCTGCTGCCTGCGCCACACCTTTTAAGAAATGGTAGATGATCAGTTTACAGGAGATCTGTTTCTTTAATAGGTGGAAGGATATCTGTGGACACGCTATCAGGCTGCTCTCTGCTTTCAGTGCTCCTTGCTAGTCATACAGAAGACAATACCTCGCTGGATGGATCTCTTGCCTTCTTGTCTTCACCCCTGTCTATATCAATCACATGAACACCACCAGGCTTCAGGATCAGGTCATCGGTCTCTACATGGCTCTTGTTATCCTCCACCTCTATGTATTTCCCTTTGGATGGCTGAGTGGCCTTGCTGAAGGCATCTTTAAAACGGCGTTTGAGTTCAACATCTGGGCAGTAGACATATTCATAAAGAGCACCAGCAAGGACTGCTCCAATTATTGGTCCTACCCAATATACCTACAAAGAGAGGTGGAAAAACATGGGCATTAAGCTATAGAATAAATAAAGAATTTAGACAAAACCAGATCACTGTAGACTTCATCCAGAACAGTTCTAGCAAAGAGTCCTGGTGCAGTTGTTTCAGACAACTCTCCTTTCTGGAAATGCAGTCACATAGTTCCCTGGATTTCATGAACCAGGATGGATTTGCCCTCCATACCTTGTCTATAGGGTAGAGAAGCATAACTGCCCTAGCTTTCACAGTTGGTGGCCTGGAGCTGACTCATATGTGACTTCTAAAGTCACAAGAAATTGGTCAAAAGCCAAAGACTTAAGGAGTTAATGGCATTATTCCCATGTTACAGGTTACTTCTGTGTTTCTGTATTTTTCTCTTCTTGCAGTCTCTCTCTCTCTCTCTCTCCTCATGCATATTTTATCCTCTTCAGAAATACTCCAGGCACCTAGAATCCAGCTACCTAGTCATCTATGGGTGCTGCTTTTCCCTAGAATCACACTAGGGTTTAGGGAATCACTAGGCACTGTACCACAACAGAGCAGCCAAGACAGAAGACACCTCTGAAGAAGTCTTAGTGAGGTAAGGTTACTACTTCCCTAATGTCTGAAGATTTCTATCCACATATCTAGTTACCAATCTACTGGCACAAACCAGCAGAGGAACAGTTAGGCTATAGAGTCCTCCAGTGGATGGACATGCAGGCATCCTCTCTGCACTGCTTTCTTCTGTTAACGGAGAACAACTTTTTTTTCCTCCCCTCTTTGCTCTTTGGGAGATTTAACCTATTTAACTTTGTGCAATATGACAAAATACAGGTTCTTCTTCAACCTTCATTAGTTCAACTATGGCTGTAAAATTTCTTGAGGTAACAAGGCCATTGATCCTTTTGTAGTCATACATGACTTGTCATATATAGCTCTGTGTCACATACAACACAGAGTTGCTCTGACATAGCTTTGTTTTTACACTACCAGAGGCAAGATGATAGAGAAATAGGCCTGTATCTTCAAGGAGAAATAGTTCTGTTGAGCTTTGATACGTCTTTTTCCATGAGGCCTTCTCTGAATTTTGACTGCTTATTTGTTAGCTGTAGATAACATTTGTGCTGCTTGCAGGATGACAAAAAAAAATAAACACCAATGCAACAAACTGGTTTCCTTGCTGTTTTCACCCAAGAGGACAATAAACTTGTGAGGAAATAAAACTTTTCAAAGCATATAGATAAACAGAACAGGTCTACTTCAATATTTAGGACAGGTAATTTGAAAAAAAAAAAAATCCAGCCTTGGCCTCTGATCCTGCAGAATCCAAGAGGCAGTCAGATATCTGATTACTTCATTGAATAAGCAAATACGAAGGACATGAACAAGTACCCTGCAAAGCTGAGTATTTCAGTACAACTTATAGCAGGTCTTAACATTAGTAGGTGCAGAAGCCCACCAGGCTTCTGCTCGTGACATTAGCATGCTATTATTTTGAAGGAGGAGGAGAAAAGGTAATCTTTCCAAACGACCAGGACAGCAGTTAGGTATCTCCTACAAGCTTCTACATGGTGGATTTGTTTATTGTTTACAGCTTTAGTTACAGGTTGCCTCAGAGTACGGATAATGAATCTTGTGAAAAACTACAGCAGTTTTTCCACATAAACAAGCCATTCACTGATAACAGGGTAAATCTGCTTCAATAGGATAACTCTTGGGAACAAAGTTACACATGGTTTTGTATTTGCAGAACTGCAGCCTTAGGGTCTGAAGACAATATATTTCTGTTATTAGCTGCAGTGGGAGCAATGTGGGCTCAATATTTTAAAATTAAGAAAATCCTTATATGCACTGTAGTATGCAGCTCTTTCAGTACTAACTGAAAGTGTCCCTAGAATTGCTTGCTGTATCTTTAACTAGGCAAAGCTGAGCTGCAATCCATCTCTTCCTATAAAATGGAAATTGTTTAAGAAGTTTAATAGTTGGATGCTATAGAAAATTACTACATCATTCACGATCCATTTATCAAATGGTTTCCTGCACAAATACTCTTAGTCAGGCTAATGCTTGCTAATCACAGCAGGTAACATCTGACCTGACTTGTAAAGGCCAGACTGTAAACCTTTTGTCTCTCACTGGCGAGCATTTGCCAAGGCAGGTTCTTCCCCTGCTCCCCTGCAACCAGATCAAGGTCCCTGCTCTCATTTTATACATTTGCTGCAGTTTACTGTAGAACCAGGTGAAATGCAAAGCCAACAGAATTACTTCCATAACTTCTCACCAGTATGACCAGGGGGTTTGCAATCTGCCTTAGAGGATTTTTCTTTCTAGCGGTTCAATTCTTTCAGTCTCACTGGATTGCTTGTTTCGAGCTTCATGCATGATTTCCTTCCTACCCTAGCTACTGTGTTCACAAGAAGACCCGCCCAAATAGCAAGATACCATCCCACATGCAACACTAAAATCCTAAGCAAGGAAGATAATTATAGCAGAGCTTGTGGCAGGCCAGTGTCCATCTTCTTCAGTGATGGCCTCTCTGGTATATGCTAGGATAGATAACTAAAAGCAAATAAGCTATGAAAAATCCTGCTAGCTGTTGGTTGCTATGGTGAAGGAAGCATTAAAGCAGTTACCCATTGGTTTTCCCATTTCCCCATGATGACAGCAGGTCCAAATGATCGAGCAGGGTTCATACTGGCACCAGTGTAATTGATCTACAGAAAAGAAAATTTTACCTATTACTAATAGGTCAAAGGCAGTTATACAATTCCTGCTAGTTCCCACTGCCACAGCCACATCTGTGCACCCAGGCTTTGCAGAGCTTCTAATCCCGGTAGAGTATATTGCTACTCTCCAGGGTGTTATCACAAGAGTAACAAAGCCATCACACAAACAAGCAGACACGCTCTGAAGCGAGGGTCCCATCCAAGGGGACCCTCCCACTGTTTCCTAGAGGGATTTGACTTGGATCTGTAAAGAAGTGCAGTTGAAAGGCTGCAGAAGTTTCCACCTGTTTCTGAGGTAGGCATAAAAGGATTAGGTTTCTATTATTTAAACAGAAGCCATTAACTTACAGCAAATAAATGTCCAATTGCAACAGAAAATCCAATTGCTAAAGCTACTGAACCAGTGACATCACTTCGTTTTGAATCACAGCTGGCAAAAATAGTGAAAACCAGCTGGAATGTAATTATCAACTCCACCAGGAGTCCGTGGCCAGCGGAAAGATCATCATGTACCTGGAGGAAGAGAAAGAAACATGAGCAATGAAGCAACTGTGAGCTTGTAAATCAAAAAGCTAAATATATATTTTAAAATAAAGATAATTTTAAAACTGTACACAGGGAAAAGCAACAATAAACAGGTACAGATTCACGTTTTGTTGTTTTAAGTTTGAAGGCTATTGAAAATTATTGCTGGACTGGCAAAAGAAGTCTTGACAGTAACATCCAATAAGAACTTCAAAGTTAGACTGCAGAAGTATAGTTTATTTTTTACACAGGGATTTGCAAATGCTGCACTTCTTTGCTTTTTTCCTTTGGAGCACTGTAATTTACTATTCAATTATAAATTCATTAATTAGCCCTGACTTAATTAATTTAAATTTCAATTAAAAATTAAGCAGTGAACAGCTCAAGTGCATTTTTAATAATTCCTGCAATAGGGCTAACTGATGGCATTCCTTATTAGTTTAGAACAAAGCTGAAATCTAAGCCACAATCTATTTCAAAAGTGTGTCATTTTAAATTGATGTTTTTTCAATCCCCATCATAATGGCACAGAATTAATTTCCCCCTCCTTGATCCATCTGAAAATAATATATGCATGAAATGCCATTTAAGTGGTATATGTAAATTAACAGCACCTGCTGTCATCAGATTTGGGGAAGTTTTAGAAAACTTCCATAAAAAGAATGGCTATACCGCATTGCGTCAACCCATCCTGAGGGGAACTTTAAGCCATGTCTAGATGCCATAAGGAAACCAGCAAGCTCCTGAAATCTCTGCTTGAGTGCTCTTTATTCTACGTGACACTGCTTACATTTTCTTAGGCTCTAAAAGCTAGTGTACTTCAAGAGCAGAAGCTATTACCATCGTGACTCCCAAACCACCCACCACACTGGGTGGCGTGACAAGGTAGAGGATGCCTGCCCCCACAATGGCTCCCAGGCACTGGGCGACAATATAGAAGACGGACTTGGCAAGGCTGATCTTCCTTGTGCAGACCATCGCAACAGTCACCGCAGGGTTAATGTGGCCTCCGCTAATGTGTCCGAAACACTGCACCATGGTGGCAATGCTGAGTCCAAAGCAGAGAGAGATAAGGACCATGTCAACAGGCAGGGGCTTCTCAGATCCACCCCAGTTGATTGTAGAGCCAAGGCTGAGGAGGACAAAAATTAGCATGGCCAAGAACTCTGCTGAGACAGCTTTCCAGAAGGGTTGAGTCCAGACTCCTTTGAACGCCACCATGATGGTCTCGCACTTGCACAGACGTCCACACTTACTGAAAAGAACAAAACAAAACTCCATCAAAAGTCACCAAGTAAGGCTTATGCCTTACTGTTGGGAGGTGTTATCTGGCAGACTTTGGAGGGAAAGCAGCAATGAAGAGCATCCTTGGACTGGGACAACGATAGACATAGGCATTGTTAGAGCAGATTGCCCTTAAAACATGACCAGGGTTCAAGAGGCTGCTTTTAGCGCGGGACACAGGCAATTAATCATCCTGCTGTGATATGCCTGTGTTTATAGCTTCAGTTCAGGAAAAGCAGCCTCTATTTTTAGAAAATAAGTGAGTGTGAAAATAAGCTTGGTGTTCTACACTATTTGAACCCTGCCTGACAGGCTCTGTAAAGCCCTACTACTTTCAGTGGCCTGTTTACCATCATGCTCATTAACTCAGTGAGTATCTACGGTCTTTTCCTTCAGCAATCTGTATTTTCTACCAAACATGTACAACAGTTCAGTATAAGGCAACACCTCAGCCAAAATGATTCTGGTAACACTGCAGTTTGGGACATTAGCCTGGAGTTTATAAGAGAAAGTCTATTGTTCCAACACTCTCACAAACCTATACTTCGATTTTAAATGTATTCAGAGAACAGTTTCTTCACTGTGGACATAGAATTTAGGATTACTTGTATCTTCCTGGCTGAATTCAATTTTTACTCTATCTTTGGAATCAATCATGCAATCAATAAGATGCTTTCTTTTGGACTAAAGGTGCAGGGTAAGTAGTCAAATAGAACAATATTTACTGTATGTTTGGTGTACAGGCCTCTGTGCAGCAAAGAAAGAAGTGTCTCGGTTTTCCACTGTGTTTGAAGAGGCTACCTATTAGTCTACATTGCCTTCCTGACAAGTTACAATTCTGCTAGATGCTCAGATACCTATGAAACTGGGTCACTAAAGAAAATTTGCTGTATTAATAAGTTAGGAGAATAAGCCAAAAGGGAAGCATTTTAATGAGTTTCTAAGGAATACTAACAAGATTCTTCTTTAAAAACAAAAAACTTCAACCCCTCAGAAAAGAAAACGAAAATATTCAGTAGCTATACTTGGAGTAGAATTTCGAGTTGAAGGATGGATGACTTTAATGCTCAGTTGTCTGAGGTAACTGAGCTACAATGCATATTTAATACCACTTACATGAGGGAGAAGCATAAAAGGCATGTCTGGCCTTTTCAAGTTATTGCAAGAGGAAAGGCCCATGAATTTCTTAATAGTTGCAAAGAGTTAGGGAAAAGCAGTTTAATCCTGTGACTGGCGCAAGTAATTTGTTTTCCCTGTCTCATTCCTTATGCTAATTTACTAGGTATTTTGGATAAGTCTCTTGAACTCTATCTCAGTTCTCTAGACTCTCAGATGAGAGCAAGAATTACATTGCCTACTGCAAATGGCGGCAGTAAAATGCTTATGAAGTCACCCGAGAGACTTGAGTTGCTCTGGCTAGAGAAGAACTGAAACCTGGAGTGGGGGGGAGTGAAGAAGTCAACCCCAAATTGACTTCTGATTTTAGATCAACCTCAAAACAAACTGAAAGCCATTTTTGTAAGATCTCATATTAACAGGCAGTTAATGACCGACTAACTAGATCAGACTTCTCATTCCAAATGGACCCAAATTCACCACCTTCCCCAATGCTAAAGCTAACAGTTGCCTATAAGAGGTGGCACTTAAATCCAAAGGTGTAAATCTGACACAGCTACTAACCTACAGCTACTTCCTCAGGAACAATTTAATTTAGTGGCCTGCCCAAGAGACAGGCGATATGTCCATAGTGGAACGAGCTTTGTATCTCAGGGCATGCCCTGATTAGACACTGTACATAGGGATGAGACATATCCCGCTGTCCACAGTAAAGAAACCTAGACACCCAGACAAGGGCTGCAGCACTCGCCTCCTGTTTCCCCTGTAGTTCAGTTTGGATGCAGCCCAGGACTCCCTGAGCTTTATTTTGCGCTTACTTTTGCTGAGCAAAGCACAAGCATGGGTACTATATTCCAGACTTCTGTAGTATGTCCCACCGCACTGAAGGCGTGCTGAGGGGACTGCAGCTGTTTGGAGCACGTAAGAGAAGGGGTATAGTGTCCTGATTTCTTTGTCCCAGTTTGCCCCATCTCTTTTTATATGATGGGAATAGCAAGGTCCATGAATTAACTGCATTCCTTCATCCTGTAGGGGCAGACAGAAGAGAGATGTTCACATTGGATACTGAAATAATGCAGTTCACTTCCTTCAGGTTGTGAAGGGTTTAGGAAGCATGCATTAAGTGTACAAGTGGGACGGCAAAGAATCAGAAAGTCACACTTTCTGTTGAGCTGCTACTGGCTATGTCTAGGAAAAGGCCAACCCTTACAGCCAATATAAGCAGATCCTACACTGCTAGTCCAGCTGAGAGCATGTGCTGTCAGTTCAGTCAATATTTACAGTCTTGAAAAAGCAAAAATGCTATATGTAAACCAAATGCACCTATTAACGCATAACTCAAATAAAAGAAACTGTTAATCAAAAAAAATTTCTATCCTGCTAATACAGCATGCTGCATAAAAGAAAAAAGTCAAAAGAGTAAGCCTATACTGTGTCACCTTATTTGGATAGTTAACCATGTAAATATTCATTTTTAATGCACACATGTTTTTCTGAAATAGTCTGGGTAAGACCTGGCAAAACGTCCAGCTGCCAGAGCCAACTTTTTATTACGAATTACATACCTTTCTCCCCCACAGCAAACTCCCCTAAAATGCTACCGAAAGCTTAACTTGCTAATGAAAGTGCTTAAGCCCTGAATTCAGGTTCTCACTTAAATTCAAAGGCTATCAGTAACTTTAGATATGGTGTTGATTTCAAAGTCTACTATTTTTTCAGCATGAAGTTAATTTAACAGCTTTAGATAAGGCAGAGAAACAGTGATGGCTGTGCCAGGTCTGAAACTGAAATGTGACTTTCTAGCAGCTGAAACGTGCCATCTAAGTCACAAAACAATTTCAAAGTAGTTGCAGTTTGCCAGCACACAGTTCTCTTAGATAAATACAAAATACAACAGAAGAAAAAAAAAAAAAGACACTTTCATATCATGGTTGCAGTTTCACATGTGGTTGCACTTTGAAATTCTCTGGTCTAGACTACAAGATTATATAGAAGAATGACTGATAGGATGCAAGGTGTGTTTTACAGCACGTATCACTTCAAGACGTAAAGTAACCTGAGGGTAAGGGCTGTATCTTACATTCTTCTAGATATTGTGTGAATCTGAGTAAGGCAGCAGGCTTAATTACAGCTTTTAAGCCATAAAAATATGAATAACAACAACAGCTTCAGTACAAAAGTCAACTGGCACTTTTTAAATTCTTCCACTTCCGACTAACATGCTTTGGATGAATAAGGCAAGCAGAGCAAACAAACTGGAGGCAGGCTCCCAGCCAACCCTTCCACCCAACACCATGGTCGCAGAGAAGTTTTGTGCGTGCTGCAGCTATTTGCGGTGGCATCTCCGCAGCAAACTCAGATAGTTCCCGACCTGTGCTGGCACAGCCGGCAATAAGCTCGAATGGATATTAGGCACTTGCTTGCCAAACCTGGGGGGGGAGAGGGGGAAGAGGGATACTGTTGCAGTGCAAAGGCACTGTCTACAAGGCTTTTAAAGAGTCATTTCGTTTCATCTTACGATAAAATACTAAACGAACAACTGCCACGAACATAGGAGCTAGGAAGGGGGAAGCCAGCACAGCAGCTCTCCGGCGGCTGTGAGCTCGCCTCCCTGTAGCCGGACCGCGAGCGGCAGGCAGAAAGTTTTAGGGTGCAGAGAAGCAGGGCGCTCGCACCCCTGCGGCCCCGTTAGCTCCTCCAAGCTCCCGAGGGTGCTCGAAAGGCTGCGGGAGCGGGACGGGGCTGCGCGGCGGGGGGAAGCGACCCCCGGGCGCACGCAG